AGATGGAGCAGGCCCAAAAAGAGCTTCAAGAGGCCTTGGCCACGAAAGAAGCCGAAATCAAGGATGCCGATGAGAAGGCATATGCTCAAGGTATGGCCGACGTCACAGAGGCTTATGAAATTCAAGTGAAGCAGGCACGCAACAAGGGTTTCACCCTTGGTTGGATGTCTCTTCTAAAGAAGCTTAATGTTCTCGAGGACTCGCCCTCTTCAACTTTCTTCATCAATGACCAAAGACTTTATCTTGGCCAATTGTGATATCCACGAAGGGCGCTCCGAATCCAGAGGCTTTACTGGCCCAAAGACGTCATGCGCCGATGGGGCTCTGAATCCGGAGACTATTTGGCCAATCGTGATATCCATGAAGGACGCTTCGAATCCGGAGGCTTAATCGGCCCAAAGACGTCATGCGCCGATGGGGCTCCGTATTTTTTAAATGCCTTCTTTTTTTCCTTTTTTATATTATATTAAAGTTTAATATTTTGATAATAATCATATGTGTTAGACTTTTCAAGGAATTAAATGTCTTTTTTATTATTATATTATATTAAAGTTTAATATTTTGATGATAATTATATGTGTTGGACTTTTCAATATTTTTTTTTTATATTTGTTCTTAATGCATTAGAGTATTATTATGAGGGATAATAATCATATGTGTTGGGACTTTTCAAGGAATTCATATGTGTTGGATTTCAAAGAATTTTTTTATACTTGTTCTTAATGCATTAAATTGTTATTATGAGGGCAAGACTTGGGAGTTGAGAGATGTTAATAAATGCTAAGTTTTTTTTTAAAAATCAAAAAATCAAGAAATTTAGATTGAGACATTGAAACTCCCACAAGGCTTGGGGTTAAAAACTCCCTTTTGCTTAATATATAGTATATATACAGTCTGTGCATAGTTACTTCAGTAGCTTTTTTAATTTCTCCTGTACATTATGGTTAGTGATAAGATTGTTAAATTATTTTTATAAAAAATCTTAAAAAACATAATTTATATATAAAAAAAATATAAATATCTATAATTATCCTGTGCATAGCACGGGCGATAGGCTAGTTATCTATATATGTGAATTGTGATTTTTAAATATATTTTTTTAAAATGTCTTTTTTTTTCTTTTTTTTATATTACATTAAAGTTTAATATTTTAATAATAATCATATGTCTGCATTTATTAACTTTTTCAAATCCACATGCCTGCATTTATTGATTTGGTCAAAATTCCTGATTAGTATTTAAAATTTCCTCATATAAATAATTATAGATACAGCCCGTGCATAGTTACTTCAGTAGCTTTTTTAATTTCTCCTGTACACTATGGTTAGTGATAAGATTGTTAAATTATTTTTATAAAAAATCTTAAAAAACATAATTTATATATAAAAAAAAATTAAAATAAATGTAAATATCTATAATTATCTCGTGCATAGCACGGGTGATAGGCTAGTTATCTATATATGTGAATTGAGATTTTTAATTTTTTTTTTTGAATGTCTTTTTTTTTTTCCTTTTTATATTATATTGGATTGTGTTTACAATTATCTATATATGTGAATTGTGATTTATATATATATATATATATTTTAAATGTCGTCTTTTTTTTTTTTTATTATATTATATTAAAGTTTAATATTTTGATAATAATCATATGTGTTGGACTTTTCAAGAAATTTTTTTCATACTTGTTCTTAATGAATTAAAGTGTTATTATGAGGGATAATAATCATATGTGTTGGGACTTTTCAAGAAATTCAAAGTTTAATATTTTGATAATAATCATATGTATTGAACTTTTCAAGAAATTTTTTTCATGCTTGTTTTTAATGAATTAAAGTGTTATTTTGAGGGATAATAATCATATGTGTTGGGACTTTTCAAGGAATTCATGTGTTGGATTTCAAAGAATTTTTTTTATACTTGTTCTTAATACATTAAAGTGTTATTATGAATGTAAGACTTGGGGGTTGGGAGAAGTTAATAAATGCTAAGATTTTTTTTTTTTTAAATAAAAAAATCAAGAATTGGAGCTCCCACAAGGCTTAGGATTAAAAATCGCCTTTTGCTTAATATATAGTATAGATAGATACGTTTTTAGATCTAAAAACCTTCCACATTGTTATGCAAGGATTGTGATTTTTAAATGTCTTTTTTATTTTTTTAAATGTCTTTTTTTTTTCATTTTTATATTATATTAAAGTTTAATATTTTGATAATAATTATATGTGTTAGACTTTTTAAGGAATTAAATGTCTTTTTTTTATTATATTATATTAAAGTTTAATATTTTGATAATAATCATTTATGTTAGAATTTTCAAGAAATTTTTTTTTTATGTTTGTTCTTAATGCATTAAAGTGTTATTATAAGGGATAATAATCATATGTGTTGAGACTTTTCAAGGAATTCATGTGTGTTAGATTTCAAATAATTTTTTTTATGCTAGTTCTTAATATATTAAAATGTTATTATAAAGGTAAGACTTGAGAGTTGAGAAAAATTAACAAATGAATTTGTTTTTTTTTAAATAAAAAATTTAAATAGGGGGATAGGAGCTCGTACAAAATTTAGAGTTAAAAATCCTTTTTGCCGTATATAGTTGTAAGAGGAGCTAATTTAAGCCCACTAAATTATTTAGGCCCAATAGCCCAAGATTAGTGGGCCTGAATTTATTGCAAGTCCAAGATTGGTGGGCTTGGATTTATCGCCGTCAAACGGGCTGAATGGCTCTAAGCCTCGAAAGGGTTCGGATCCACGAACCTAGAGACTTACTCGGGTCCGAACTCGAAAGGGTATTAAGCAAGCCTAGAGATCCGAGGCACTCGGACTCGAAAGGGTTCGGATCCACGAACCTAGAGGTCCTCAACACTTGGCTTCTAACGGATTCAGACGCAATCTAGAAGTCGCTCCGTTAATGAGTCCCAGAACACTTGCGGGCTCGGAGCTTTCCGGGATCTACGCACCAGAACCATGGGCGTAATGGAGTCCGAACAAAGGACCCGATCCCAAGGACGATGAGTGGAGATAAATTCACTCTTCGGTTAAACTAGCCTATACCCGGGTCGAGGTGGCACGACCCCGGGGGGTCCATGAGACTCGGCAATATTTTGCGGCAGGACGTCCTCTGGGACTACCCCTGACCCTTTGGGATGATTGGGGATCATTGGTTAGGTGTGGCTAAGAAGAAGGGTTCGCCGAGGGAGTGATCTCCTCTTCGGGGTTTTCTCATCCTCGGAGAAGGTCACCTCCTCGGACAAAGTGGTTAGAGAGAATATCCCCCATGTACCTTGCACATGGGCTCCATCCTACATCATGAGGAGCCTATAAATAGCACCCACCCATAGCAGAAGAAATGAAGCAATTTTGGCATCACAACTCTTATGCGGGGATTTTCAAAAATCAGAAAAGGGTTATAATATAAAGTTTCACTAATTTAACATCAATCACTTAACAAAAAAGAATAGCAGTACATAAAGGAAATTATACATATCTCAACCATGATGACAAAACAAGAAAATAATAGCAAAACAAAAACTAACTGACAAACATTAAGCAGACACA